TATTTGAGAACTCACTGCAGTCCGATGAAGTTCCTACTGACTTGAAAAGGGTAAGCATAATCCCCATTTCTAAAAAGGGAAAAAAGTGTGAGGAACTACAGGCCAGTCAGTCTCAGCTCCGTGCCTGGCAAGATCACGGAGCAGATCCTCCCAGAAACTATGCTCAGGCACATGGAAAATAAGGAGGTGATTGGTGACAGCCAACATGGCTTCACTAAAGGAAAATCATGCCTGACAAATTTGGTGGCCTTCTACAATGTGGTTACAGCATTGGTGGATAAGGGAAGAGCAACTGACATCATCTGCCTGGACTTGTGCAAAGCATTTGACGCTGTCCTGCATGACATCCTTGTCTCTAAATTGGAGAGATGTGGATTTGATGGATGGACCACTCGTTGGATAAGGAATTGGCTGGATGGTCACGCTCAAAGAGTTGCTGTCAACAGCTCGATGTCCAAGTTGGAGACCAGTGATGCGTGGCATTACTCAGGGGTCAGTACTGGGACCGGCACTGTTCAACATCTTTGTCGGCCACATGGACAGTGGGATTGAGTGCACCCTCAGCAAGTTTGCCAATGACACCAAGCTGTGTTGTGTGGTTGACACATTGGAGGGAAGGCATACCGTCCAGAGGGACCTTGACAGGCTTGAGAGGTGGGCCTGTGCGAACCACTGCGTGGCATTACTCAGGGGTCAGTACTGGGACCGGCACTGTTCAACATCTTTGTCGGCCACATGGACAGTGGGATTGAGTGCACCCTCAGCAAGTTTGCCAATGACACCAAGCTGTGTTGTGTGGTTGACACATTGGAGGGAAGGCATACCGTCCAGAGGGACCTTGACAGGCTTGAGAGGTGGGCCTGTGCGAACCACATGAAGTTCAACAAAGCCAAGTGCAACTTCCTGCACATGGGTTGGGACAAACCCAAGCACAACTACAGGCTGGGTGGAGAATGGATTAAGAGGAGCCCTGAGGAGAAGGGCTTGGGGGTGTTGGTGGACAAGAAGCTCAATGAACACGTGAGCCACCAATGTGTGCTTGAAGCCCAGAAAGCCAATCATATCCTGGGTTCCATCAAAAGAAGCATGATCAGCAGGTCAAGGGAGGTGTTTTTTCTCCTCTACTCCATGAGACCCCACCTGGAGTACTCTGTCCAGCTCTGGGCTCCCAACATAAGAAGGACATGGAGTTGTTGGAACCTCTCCTATGAAGACAGCCTGAGAGAGTTGGGCTTATTCAGCCTGGAGAAGAGAAGGCTCCAGGGAGACCTTATAGCAGCCTTCCAGTACCTGAAGGTGGCCTACAGGAAAGATGGTGAGGGACTGTTTTTCAGGGAGTGTAGTGACAGGACAAGGGGTAATGGGTTTAAGCTGAAGGAGGGTCGATTTAGATTAGATGTTAGAAAGAAATTCTTCACTGTGAGAGTGGTGAGGCACTGGAACAGGTTGCCCAGAGA